ATCTAGTCAGGGAGTACCTGTGAGTTGGAGTAGATAATGCTTTTAGGCTCAGGGCCCCATTGGGTGTTGGGTGACCCCCTGGAAGCAGGAAGTCTCTGTATATCACAGAGACTGGTCAGCATCCAGGCAAATAATTCTGTCTTAGAAAGTAATAAGAACACAGGTCTGTGCTGATGAGATTTTGTCAATGACTTTTCTGGGGTTTGGGGCATTTGGGGGTAGTTTGTGGTGGCCATGCCATGTCATGGCGGCCTGCCACACAAGGCTTGTCTGAAGCCCATGGGTTACAGTTGCCACACCAACTCCAAGGCTTTAAAGGTCACCTTTGCAGTCCACGTGTCCTCAGTTTTTCCATGCATCCTTTCAGCCAAGGTGTTGTATGTAAACCCTCAAGGCACCTGGAGGCATGTTGCACTTTGGCTTCCTTTATTTCAGATGCCTGTAATGAAAAGGCTTTAGAAGCCAACCAATACTATTGGCTGTGTTACTTTTCTGTTGTAAATTTAATGGGTTTCTGTTTTATGGTTGCTGTGTTGATAAGACTTAACTCCCGCTGTAGCCTGAGGGGAATGGTTAATATGCAGCAATTTTGAGTTACAGATCAGTTAGCTCCTAAAGTCAACTACGGCCTTACCATCGTTCAGATAGTGTTATAGTGAAGCTGTCAGATTTTAAATACTTAGGAAAGAGCTCTTATAACTGTTTCCATGGTGATAATGTGAAGGCAACATGGTAGTTTCATCTGTATCATTGTTTGGCTAGATCCTTTTATAGTCTGTGAAAGGATGGTACCATTCTATAGTCAGGTTACATCCCTTTGAACTACACCACAATAAATTGGGGCAGCAATTAACATTCCCTCCTCTAAATGAAAATGTACTTCAACATTAGATATAGCATGTCTGATGTGTTCTTGCCTCTTTTAGTTTAATATTCATTGTCTGATTTCTGTGTAGATTAGCAGTGGTATTAACAACCTACTATTATGCTTTCACAGTCATTTCTTGCTCTACTATTACCTCTGCTCCGGGTGTAGTTAAGTATGCCTGCAATCAGGGTAATTGTAAAACTATTTCAGACTTCCACCTTATGCCTCCTCATCTGCATGGGCAACTGCGTGGAACTTTTGAAATATTTTAGATGTGTTAAGAAAAGCAGATATTTAGTCTTCTTTAAATTATCATAGATTACAATTAATCTCATTAGGCAGCAATGTGTTGCACAGCTTTATTTATACATGCACAACTTTTGCTTGATGTCCTTGTTCACATGGACAAGGAACTTGTCTGTTAACATTTGTAATGGTCAACACAGGTTTTAGGCCAGGTTGAAACTTAGTCATGCACACAGCAGACACATGAACTCTACTGTCCCGCTAATTGGGAATATCTGCTGATCATTTGCAATAACTAGCTAAAGCACCCATTTAGGGTCCAGAGGCATGAACTTTATTTTGCAAGCGGGGGGAGGCTGCACACCTGACTAATGGGGGGGGGGGCTGAGACTGAGATGAGCATCCCAAACTCCTCCTAAGGTGACATGGTCTGCTGTTCATGATGGCTTCCATCTTGTCAGGATTCAACTTCAATGAGCTTACCGACCACTAGAAATCTTCCAGGGCTGTTCACTTGGGCAATGGCTTGAATGAAAAAGAATAACTGTGGCATTCCCTACCTAATGCTGGATATCTGTAGGATACTTCCTTCCTAAAGCAGGTTGCCTTTAAGTACAGGATAAGACTTGGTTTGTTGTAATGAAATAAAAGAACAGTCAGGGTTAAAAAGAGATTTCTTTTTCAGCCGCATGGCACACAGCTGGTCAGCAGGTAGATTAAGATTTGGTCATAATTCTCTGGTTGTTTGTAGTAGATTGGCAAGGGTTTCTGATTCCTGATTGTCCAACTATAACAACAACTAAAACTTCCCCATCCCAAAAATTAGGTTACTGAAGAAAACACTTGGAAGAAAAGCAAGACTAGATGTTCATATGGAAAGATACAGGAGTTAGATTGTGGTATTTCTCACAAGGTCTCAGGCTGAGCATCACAGGCCCCTGTTTCTTCTTTCTCAGTGATGCTTGAGCCAATAATTTGCACTTGATTTTGGTAATAAAATACCGTGTAGAATCTATATTGCAGATCTTGTAAGCCTCTAGTCTGCTCACCCTGACTCTGATGCACATAAATACTCCCTTAGAAAGAATAAACAATTGACGGCTGCTAATAGATTTCAGTGTCTAATAGGTACAAACTGAGCTGTCTTCAAATGGTATCAAGTAGCAAACCAAATGGATAGTGTGATTATTTTGCCTAACCTACTAATAATTTAAAATATAGCTAAATACAGAGGGCAGGTTTGCAGGTAACTACAGCAAATTGTGGGTCAGTCACTTAACCTATGTTTTGCTGTGGAGTGTACCAGTCACATCCTATTGCCATTTTGCATATGCATCCTCTGATTGTGCTGCTCAGAGGTTGCTTTGTGTCTGAACCTGGACACTAAAGGTAAATCGTGTGTAAAACAACCCACAGTTAACCTAGCGATTACTTAAACAACCCAGTACTGATCACCCTACAGGAGTTACTTAATGACATATATCTATTGCAGCAATGCCTAGGTATACCTAATGTGCATGTGCATGCTCTCTCTGCACACATTGGCTAAAACACTTTGCCTCTGTGAAGAGGGTAAGATTTGGGATACCAGAATTGAAGTAAGTACTTGGCAAATCGTCGGTTAATTAATTGTGTAAATCAGCTCAATGCTTAGCACAGTCTGTGTTTAAAACAGTGTGGGAAAATTAGTGAAAACTGTTCTCTAAGATACTGGTAGCCCTCTGGTTACGAACGTCAGGGTAACGTTCGAGCAAGCAGTATTTATGAATGTGTAGACTGTCATAAACCCTAAAAGAATATCTCCAGCAAAAAGCCACGGTACCTCTAGGGAACTGTGTGACCCATTTGGCAGCATGTCATCAGTGGCCACATAGTTCCCCAGAGTACAGTAATCATGGCATTTCGTTCTGCGGCGTCGGCTTGAGTGTACCCAAGCCAGTGTGTCTTGGGGCACGATTAGGGCACATGGTTCCCCTTTGGTTTTTCTGTAGCATTTGCCCTTGTAACCAATCACAAAGGAAACTAAAGCAGAAAAGATCCTAACACGGAGAGGTTCACAAAGGTTTACGGTACAGTTGCGGAGGCTCTCAGCTGCTGCAAGGGCATTTATGATGAGAAAAAGAAAATGGCTGAATGAACAACCCTTGATGCCTACTTTAAGAAGGCAACTTCAGTGGTAACCCCCCTCCTCCCAGCAGCACAATCAAACCGTGCCTCTCCAGCGCCAGGACCCTCTCCATCATCATCAGTTAGGCTTAATGTTACCTCCAGAGTGTTCTAGACATTCTTTTATTTGTTTTTTACAATACTGTATACCTGTACACATACATACAGGTTCTCCCTCTCTTCAGAATCTCTGGGTACTGTACGGTTGATTACTGTACTATTATCCTTATTACAATGCTGTATTGTGTTTAAGATGTTTAGTGAATATGAAGGTGGCTTACATGTCCCATTAAAGTCCAGTGGGCCCTAAATCCCTCTAGCTGGTTTAGGTCTGAATCCAACCACTGAAAAGGGGAGTGCGAGGAAGAACCATGTGAAAGAGCAAGTTCTGTACTTGCTACCTTTGTTTGTAAATACCCTTCAGAAATTTCCTCTTCTTAAAATTTGTCCTTTTCACTTTTAAAACAATGTGTCCAGGTTGGGATGGACAACTTACTAACTGAACTGTTACTATTTTGCTAAAATTGTTACTTTTTAGCTACTATAAAGCTAAATCAGTTTTGATTACTGTTACCATAGTTGTTTGGTTTTCAATTATACTTTATTACAGTTTGTTTTGCTTTCAGTAAGGTTGCAAAAAGTGGTTTTGCTAGCAGTAGATGATCAGTTTGCATTGAATCAGCATCTTTGATCATGAATCTAATTTACAGACAGAAGCAGATTATCTGTTTTTTTAACCAGAACTGTCCACGTGCTGCTTTTATCTTCAGTCTTCTAAAGCATGACTTCTCTTATCTATGTGGAGTTCTTTTGTTGTGCATGCACATTGAGCAAGCACGTCAAATCACCTTTGCTAAGCTGGAAAGACACTGGCCTTTTAACTGAATAGGTGACCCCACGTGGAAGCAGAGCAGCGGCAGTACTTCATAGGCCCCTTCCAACTCTACTACTATTCCACCTCGTTCCATTGCATTCCAAATACTTTTAAATAATTTGACTTATAAAAGTAAAGGAATTCTGATTTTTGGTGGGGGTGTGGGATGCTGTTGCCGGTGCACTGTTCATTTGTAGCACTAAGCCTTGCTCCCTAAATAAATCCTCATTAGCATCAGTATATTGACTTTCAGTGCCAGGTACATGTACTGTATATAAAACCCCTCTAGCTCATTTTTCTTTTAATGGGTTCATCATTCAGCATTCACAATACCCACTAAAAGTCAGTGAAGCAATTTCCTCCAAAGCTGGGAACAAATTCATGATTTTTAATTTGGTTGTGCCCAAGTAATAATTATACAGAGATATGCTTGTTCATGGGTGGCAACAATGGACAATAGCAGGATCTTATGAGAAAGTTTTTGGACGTATTTCAGTTAATCTGAAAGCCCTCTACATATGATAGAAATAGCCTTTGCAGTTCTTGTGTTTTAGTGCACTTTCTAATGTGATTCTATTGGCACGAATAATATTCTAGTATTCTATGCTAAAAATGATGCTTCCAGTGATAGTCCTACTGTTATCAGAGACTTTGCATAGCCTCTTTAGAGGTTGTTGCATGGTTCAAAAAGTAAGTTGTGTCATTGTGCCATTTCAGTGTTTTTCCACTGGTAGCATTATTTGTGTACAAGTATGTCAGGGCTACAAGTTTTAGGGTTCAGGTTAGCAGAATAACAGCTTGTATTCAGACATCCTGAGAGAAAGTTTTTGTTTATTTTGATGAGGTTTGGGGAATTGTTGTGGAACTTTTAAGGAAGAGTATCCTGCAATAAATGGTGAAAACTTGGCTGATCTCGTTCCATTGAGTGGATATCATAGTGTAATGCAAAGAGTTTGGGGAATGTTTATAATGAGGCTGAAAAATATCACATAATGGCACTTTTCTGTTTTGCCTTTAGGCTTCTTAAATAGAATCTCTTGAACTCTCACAGCTGGCTAGGCAAAGAAAGTTATAAAAAATAATCAAATACCTTCTTGTGTCATGGAGTCTGTAAAACCGTATTGTCTGTAAGATCCTAGTATGGTTAGGAGAAATGGAGCAGAGACTTCAGTCATTTGGGGTTACCATCAATGGAGCTTTTTGCTGACTTGAACTTGAAGATCTACCTTGGCTTCAGCAAAACAGTGTCATGCAACCCTTCTGTATATGCCATTGATTAATGTTTAAAAATCCTCTTATTCATGGCAAAGGAAGGCTCAGGGTTATGGCGACATGCTCAGGAACTACTCAAGAACACTCCAGATACTTTATAAGAAAGAGATCATGCAAGGGATGTCCTTCAAGGACAGTGACTTGTGCCCCCATGTCCTGTCTGGGGAGAAAAGCACCGAAGCAGTTTCCATGCTGTGGTGCCCAGTTGAAGAGTCAACATGGAAACTCCTTTGGACTCATTCTAATGCTATGAGAGTATATAGACAGTATCAAATGAGTTTCTTCCACAGAGTTTTAGCATTGTAGAGTAACAACTGGTAAGAGGCTCCTGTAAATTACATTGTAAAAGTACAGATGGATGGCACGAGGGGTGCCTAAGTTGTTTTTAATATTATGCAGATTGTGAATCTTTTACAAATGAACATATGGACACAACTGTAACATTTAGGGTATATTCCCACAGTGGTTTGTGTATATAGCCCCTCTGTATTTTGATAGCTCAGTATAGTATGAAAAGGAACATTCAAGATACTATAGCATGTTACTTGCCACATGACACTGTGCCATCAAGTTTAGTAATGACAGGCTTGGTTTCAAATTGTTACTCTTTACTGAGAACATTTTAGCCAAGTTATGATCAGTATGAAGTTTGTATCAGGGTCTGCCTGTTTTCTTATAGCAAAACTCTACATTTCTGTAGAAACAAAGGGAGCCTTTAAATATGTATTAACACTGATGATCCCATAAAATCATGGGCTCTGGAGTAAATACAGAGAATCTACTTGTGCACAAGGTTGCTTCAAAATTGTAGTATATATTTTCTTGCTGCATTTCTGAATGTTAAAATTAGACATCTTGGACATTTCTTTTTAAAAAGGAAAATTCGTATGGAATATTTGCGCAGTTAATTTTATTGGCACATAAAATAGCAACTGTACCACCAAACTGTGCATGCTTATTATTGCACATTAACACAAGTACCTTGAGACCGTTTTTCTCTTTCTTCTCAAATTTGGAAACCTTTTGGTTAATACTTCCATTGTAATATTGTTTTCAAGAATTAGATTTTTTGTTTTAACATAAAAAAATAATTTTCAAACATCATTAAGTGCTTGGTTTTGTCCCTCTTAAGCACTTTTTTTTCACTGTACATGCTTTCAGCCACTTTTATTTATTTTTTTACAAACTGCACATGGAATACTTTTCAGAGCAGGATCCCTTCTAGTGGAGTTTACGATGACGATACTTGCCCGCTTTTTCTTTTGCTGAGTTGGCACAAGCATTGTGCTTATTCTGTTGTAAATGGTTCCAGTACTTGATCAGTTCACTAGGCTGGAACTGATGGGAGGTAATTAGGTGACTGTATTTACAGCTGGAATAAGAAACCCGCCAGTGATTGAAGACAAATTCATTGGGAGGAGGCATTGGGTCAATTCGCAGTTTGGCAAGGCAGATGCCCACATATACATCCTCTAAGTGTAAGCGTCTGATACTTAGTGAGACCTTAAATATTTTTTCTGCTAAATCACCAGAAAACACATAGCCAGTCCCAGAGCAGAATACAGGGTAGCGTTCACTTGGATAAAGATCAGGTGGCATATACCACTTGCTATCTTTGTTGCGATTGGGTGCATAACCCCTCATTAGATAGCCTGTAAAGTATTTGTGCCGCAGAGGCAATTCTGGTTTCAGAAGCTTATGTATTAAATATTCTGTATTGACAAACATGTCACTGTCAGTTTTCATAACGTATGGAACATTTGGGCAATAGGTGGCGACCCAGTTCATCCCCATAAGTGTTTTAATTGTTAGGTTGTAATATGTGTCCAAGTACTCTTGTTGGATAATGTCGTGGTATTGCCTGCTTTCCTCCAGGATGGCTCGCTGAAGGTATCCATTTAGCTTAACACTTAAACCCAGCAAAAAAATCCGAACAATTTGGATCCCAGGTGCCAGGCTCTCATTCCCCCAGGTTTGTCTGATAGCTTGTCGAGCTTCCACTTGACCTGGTTCTGCAGCTATGAGCAGTATTAGAAATGGGCTTTTTTCCTGGCATTTTTCAGGTTCATTGATGATATACTTGAAGTGATATGAAGTTGGATGTCCAGTTCCTCTCGCATTGTAAATACTCCCATTAGCACTGAGTGTGTTCTCCAAACCAGTAACTCCTTGAGGTGACAGTTCTGTATTGTTGGAGTTAGTAATAGTCTGTGGCCTGAGGGTCTGAGGAACTGCATCCTTCCAAATGGTCCTCAGAGAGCTGAGGTTTGTTTCACTTCTCGTTGATCTAAATCCCCGTGTAGTGTAAGCCACAGGGTTTTCTTTGAATCCAGGTCTGCCAGGCAGCCAGTCATGCTGATTAAAAAGCAGAAATATAGCAAAAAGGAAAACAAGTGAGAGTAGACCAATGAAGTGGGTGCGAAATAGGGACCGCTTGGTATTCCAGGTCATCTTGGCAAAGCAGCAGTGCCGCCGCCTCCACTGAAGCATGTTGTAGGTATCCAATTGTGGGATGCGCGAATGACTGAAGCAAATGCTTTCTTTCCTTTTGGATCCTCCACTATTTCCTGGAATTCATCTTTGGCCATAAGCAGATGAGTAGTGAATGACAAGCTCTGCAAAAGTCAAAGAAGATTTAGTGAACAAGTGTTAAAAACATGCCCATCCTCTTGTGTGTAGCTTAGGAAAGACTACATGAAGTAGCAGTAAGTCTGAGGAGCATTGCTGTAGCACTTAATGGTAGTTCAAAATTTATATTACTACTGATATTTATTTACTCACAAGCCAGGAGCTCCTGGCTATTTACTTTCTTTTAATTGTTAGGAAAGTGAGTCTAAGGCAGACATTTGTCCAAAGCCAGGCAATGAGTTCCTAGCTGAGGAGGATGCAAATTCCTATTCCTCAAATCTACCAAACCTGGTGCTTCTGTTTGTCTACACAAGGGAGAAATAAGTTGCAAAGGAGTGATAATAGCTTCAGTGTAAAATGAAATTGTTGGCCATCTTCAAGTTCTTTTCTTTTCAGAGTTCCTCTATGGGTACCATTCAATCTCTGATTATGGATATTGCCTTTTTAAAATTATTTTGATACCAAGGGCTTTACCCATGTTAACGAATTTCCACACATTTTCTTAGAAAGAAAAGAAAAAAAAAGAAGTAGCTTACTTGGTCAAGAAAATGTGAGAGAACTTGAATTAGAGCAATGAACTGCAAATATTAGAGTATTAGCAGGTTCTTCAGAAAGGCCAGATATAAAGGTCTTGATACTAGATGGAAAGTTTATTGGCGTTAATTAAAACTGATTTGATATGCAGTAGGTACTATGGCTCACAGTTGGAGGCCGTTTTGTTGCAAAATGATCATGTATTGGTAGTGGGACAGACGGTGCAAGGTTGATTATAGCCGAGTTCTGTTAGGCACAGTACACTGCTTGGCTTGTTTCCATGGGTTCCTGTGATGTTCACAAAGTCAGTGAGAAGATGCACCTGTCAAAATTAATTTTCAGGGTCCAGTTACCTCACTGCAGACTCCTACAGTATTAACATATCCACAACACTTTGGTTAATACTTATGCCTCCTTAACCATTGTTCCCTGTAGAACAGCGTACTATTGGCTTTTCCTGATGTCTGTTGTGACTGAGTACTTTTAAAGAGACGCTTTAGTTACCAATGGCTGTTGCAATTCAGCAGAGATTTAAGTCTGTGCACACAAACGTGAACTGACTTCCCTGTTCTACTCCCTCAGTAGTATTTAACGTGAAATGAAATTAATGAACTTTATGTAGGCAATTTCCTTTTCTTCAACAATCCTGGAACTGTGAAATAGTGTTCATTTAGAAAATGTAGTTGGCGCACTTTCTGCATGTTGCAGACTATAATCTAAACTTTATAATACATTTCCTCCTGTTATTCCCCTTTGGTATTCAAGAGCAGAGTCAATATGGCAGTTTTGTGATACCGCATATTAAAATCCAATCACATCATCTTTCCAATGAGTCTCTCATTGCATGCCATGAATTCATTTGTGACTTTTTATCAATTTGTTCTAATTTATTTCAAAACCCTAGGGTTTTGAACAGGAATAACAGTCTCAGAGGGAAAAAAAGAATCCCTTTTACGTAAATGTGTAATTTATTCAATTACTTTGCTATCTCTCAAAACCAATATTTGGATTAATTTTTATTTTATTTTAAAAAGTTAGCGATGTGTTGCATAGCTAATAACATCTTTAGTAAAAATCAGTTTATAAGAGGGGAAACCTGGCACTGAAAGGGATGATAACATTAATATATAAAGATGGATGCTGCTGAAACATGTACTTAAATACTCACATATGCTAAATAAGTAATCTCAGTAATAGCAAATCTCAGAAATAGCAAAAATGCATAATTTAAAACAATTAGGGAAGGTTGAGCTCTTTATAATTTCAAATGGACCAAATTAGGGAGTTTTTAGTACAGCATAGAACACATTCAAATATTTGCAGTGTCTTGATGGAAGTATTACCTGTCATTCAGAACAAAAGCTGTATTTCATCTTACTAACCACCACTAGGAGGAGCAGGTGGGGGGTTTATCCTTGAATTGTGGCATGCAGTACATCCTGAAACTTCTGAGTTCTGCATTAAGGTCTTCGGTGCTTTTTTTCCTGTGGAACTAGAATATACTCAGTTACTACTAAAGAGGGCTTCCTGTGTTTATAAAGTACTAGTGTACCTTTTAATGCTGATTTGAATCCTCAGATAACACTATATAAAATAATACTCCAACAATTTCTGGTTCTAATTATATATTAATAGATAATCTTTGTTTTCAGTGGTATATATCTTGTGTTTCAAAAAACAGTTATGTAAATATTTCAACCCTATTTTTAAAGGGGTTTGTCATAATTGAATGGCTCTTCTTAAACAATTCCTTGCTAGAAATGGATTAGCACACTTTAAGCACAATTGTTAACTGGTGCAAATGGATGAAGCAATAGGACAACGGAAGTATGTAGGAGAGATTTCTGTTCAACAGTTTGTTAGAACTAATTTAAATTCACTGTGTTTACAATAACAATTCTGTTTGGTAGAGGCATGATATATTTAGGATTTGTTTCACTGCTTGAGCAACTGCAGCTTGAGTATTGTTATCAGTACATATGGAATGCACCAGAAAGATTATAATATTTGTTCCTGGCAGCCACCGTTCTCTCACTGATGCCACCCAGTTATATTCTAATGATTTAATATTTAACTAGTTCTGGTAGTGCATTGTCAAAAATAAATTACATAAAGCATTGAGGATTATTCTGGTGAAACTTGGTAACTGTTGAAAAACCAGCAAGTGTTCTATTATCAACAATGTAGGATTTTGATTTTGTTGTGCTTCTAGCTAGTAAATGGTGAGTAGGTCTTAGTTTCCTATAATATTTGATCTATCCACTATGCTGCTGAATGTTGCTCTAAGACATAAGTCAAGGTATATAAGTTAGGTGGTTTCCTAGCATAATATGAAACAATTGTGCCTTTGGAGCCAAGCATTATTCGACATCACATTGGGCTTTTCTAGTCCCTCGAGCCCCCTGAAAGCCACTGCCAGGGGTCAGAAGACTGCAGAATGGCATGAGATAAAGGGAGATGAAGCCAAGGATTCCCCAGCACAGTGTTTTTGTCTCTTTCTCAGGCATACAATATGCCGGCACTCACAGATGGGCCTCTTTGGATCCTGGCCTGTGTTACAAAAGGGTAAACTTGTATGCCAGATATCTCCTTGAATTTCAGTTCCTCATCCTCATGATGGCTATTGATATGAGCATTGCTTTGTTTTGGTTATTGTTCATGTACATTTAGATGCTTATATTTTCTGTAATTCTTGTGAGCCAACTGTTTTGTTGAAACTTACCAATTTAGAAGGGAAGCTTGAGATCTGATGGGCAGAGAAAGTGAGCGCAACTGTATCATGCAGGGCCCGATATCAGAGTCCCGACATATCTACATTAATAGTTTTCTGCAAAAGTGAAAATGTCCATTACTCATTTTAAGATCCCAGCAGCTGAACAATACAGGTTTTTGAGTGAGATTTCTTTAGAGTTATGCATGTGTCTTTTATGTTCCGGTATGCATATCCACATGCTATTTTTTATATTGCTCTTATTCACCTCTTGAGTGCAGCCTTTTAAATCAGGCTTCTCCACTAAACATAGATTAGTTTAATGCATGTTAGTTTTTCCTGAGGCAAAGAAATTATGTTCATGTTTATCGCTGTTTAATGGTTTAGTACTGTTTTTGGGGTAGATTTTTGAGAAGTACTTGACCACTGAAAGATTATTAGGCTGGTATGGATTTGAGTCATAAATTTTTACTGTAGATAAGTAACCTGAGTTCCCTGTCAGTTCTTTATCCATAAGCATCCCAAATCTACTAAGCTTAAAATATTGAAAATAGTGGCAGTTGAATTAAGCTAGCTGCTTTCTAACAGTTAAATAACCCCAACATCGCATGGTAAGCAGAACTTGGTATGGTGTGGCATATGCCCCATCTAGAAGGAAACAGCCTAGGGAGACTTTGTTCTGAGATTCCGATGGGTATTAATATTACTCTTGGTCTTCAAATCATTGCAATGCAGGTGCTCACAACTCACATCACTCTCTTTTTATATTTGGAGCCAACATTTTTGAGGGGTGTGTGTGGGGGAGGTCAAACCAGGCGTGGCTGGTATATTAATCAGATGAGACTTGGTGTGTTAGGGTTTAAAGAAGGAATACAAATGCTGAAAAGCGGTATTGGACTGAGAATTAGACTGCCGAGTCTGTCATGATGGGTTTGAGTGTGTGTCACATCACAGTTTTGTTAAAGGGTGTTTTAAAGGTGATAATGGATAAAAATTAAACCTGACCTTATTTGATCAAATCTGATCATTAAAAAAAAACATAACAGAATGTGAAGGTAAATTTCTCAAGACTATACAATTACTACAGATAGCTACATTATCCCCCTTAATCCTCCTCCTCCCCCCTCACTCCTTTCGCAATCCTCCTCAGCCTTCACATCTGACTATAAGTGACAGATTTATTAGTGCAAATGTAGTGGCATCCTCTTTTTCAGCTGAGCTGTAAAAATAACCTTTCCCCTCCCTCACTGCCTCCCTCCCCCCAATATATATCACCATTCATGGAGCATTCGCTCTAGCTTCTATAGGTGGGGATGACAATGCTCTGTATCTGCTACCAGCACATGCAGTTGAATGAAATGCCGTACAGCGATCAGACATACCTTCCTTTGTCAGGCCATTTGTAGTGAGAGGATTATGCCCACTGCAAGTAGTTTTGGCACGCCATCCCTTCAGCCAAAAAGATGCCATCAGCCATGCGCACATCTCCCCCCCAGCAGCCTGCTGCCTGCGACTGCTTTTCAAGGTATCCCGTGTGTCCATCTGTATGCCTCCTGCTCTGCTACCTTGCCTGCTCACCAGCTTGCTCGTCTTGTTTTTTCTGTAGTCATCTTTCAAGAAACGGAAGCAGCACTTCTTGTTTCCATTCTGACCAGCATTGTCTGCTGCTAACAATGGAAGCATTGAAGCTTTTTACCGTTGGTGTTTCCCTTGTTGGACAATGCAGTGCTGTGTTCTCTCTTCAGTATCCATATTTCTTTTGGCAAAGCCAGGCAGAGCAGCAAGAGCTAGAATCGGGAGCTGTTCGCTTGCATTTGATAAAAGGATTTACCCTTCTTCCTTCATTGTTGCTAGGCAGTAGCCAAAAGGGACAACTGAAGGGGTGAAAAAAGGTTTTAGCTGAAGGTTTTGTTCTGCAAAATCTAATCCATAGTTCCTCGGCTGCTGCACAGGCAGGCAGCAGTTTAAATGTGGGCTTTGACAGATGCTGTCTTCTGACAGAGCAGAATTTCACGTCATTGCTTGGCTGGGTCCCACGTGATAGTTTGCATTCATTTGGATTGAATCTGAAGGCAGCCAGAGAGCTTACTGCTTTTGCTTCAGTTGGAAAGAAGATATACATCCAGTGCCGGAGCAGCACTTGATGAATAAAATGTGAGGGTTTTCACGATGATGATCAAATGGATTGGATTTTTATTCCACTCCCTTCCTTTGATGTAGGAAACCTTATCATTGCCTAAATATTTCTTGATGTTGGATGTTAGCTTTGTGTAGCAGCACCCTAGTTGTGGAACTCCCTCCCCCGGGAGCTTAGGCTAGCCTCTTCAGTATCTTCTGGATGGCTACCCAAGGCAGGCTGCTCTGATGAATTTTTAACAGTTAATGCTGTTCTCGCTTTTTAATCCTAATTCCCTAATTTTAAAATTTGCTTTTGTATTGCTATGTATTTTAATATTTGTTTTTTTTCTTATCTAACCCAGCATTCATTGAACATATCCAAAAATATTCCAAAATGAATCCAAGCACATTTCTGCATTGTATAAGTACCACAAGCTGATTGAAATAATGGCTTGTAGCACTCTTCAGAAGCTGTTTGTTTTTAGCAAGTATATTGTGTGACTTAGAAAAATCACTTCCTGCACTCTCTCCACCCTTGATTGCATGTGTGAAACTTTGTGATGGGGTTAGAGTAGTCCAAACATCTTCTAGTGAGCTGATTTTCCATTACGTTGTAATGTTAAGCATAATTACAAGTTCAGCACTGAAAATAGAGGGAAGGTAATTGACTGATTTTTCTAGTCCTCTGTTAATAAGCATACCACCACTCTACTTTCATGCTGCTTAAGCACCTTGCCTTGCTTATCCCTCCTCCTCTTCCTTTTTTGCCAAGACTTGCAAAATTCATACTGAAAATCCATATATATAGTGCACTATCTGATAAATGGGTTTTACAAGCTGAAAACAAAAAAGTAGTCCATGGAGAAGAGAGTAGAATTATATATAGAATGTACTTGACAATTTGCTTAATATGCGCAGTGCACAATTTATCTAAGAAATTGGGGAAGAACTTTAAATTTTGTAATACCTGACTTTGGAAAAAGTTACTATAACTTTTATAGTATACATAACAGTTATACTATAAGGGTTAAATAACAGTTAATGATGAGGAAAGTACAATTCTTGTAGAATAGCTCTATAAAGGAAGTTTCAGTCAAGCAGAACAGAGAAAGGGAATGCAGGGTACTTTCTGCACAGGAATCCAAAATTCTCATTCCCTAATAGTGCACAGTTTTAAAACTCATGTAGCAAAAGTACATGAGCCTCAACTTACGAAATATTTGTGTGGCGCCACTGATTATGATTGGTGCCCATTGTTGAAATGGCCTGCCTTCCCTGTACCAGACCAAGAAGCAGGGACCTGGAAATGTGTGTAGGCAAACGTGGGCATCTCAATCCACTTGCACTGATCACAATTGCCAGTGCTCTTTGTACTATATGAGCATTTTACACATGGTCCAGTTTTTGGCTCCGGTGTTTAAGCTAAAGTATGAATTTTTATTTAGCCAAATGAGTGTCCCGGAATTTTCTGCAGTATGGCGGTTAAGCTGATGAATTACACCATGGGCATGACTTGACTTCCCCAAGCAGCATGTTATGGGTAAATCGCCACTATTTCATAGTTCAAAGGAAGGCAGGCCATAAAAGTGAATTTTAGCAGAGGGGGAGAGAACTTGAGCTGGGTGTGGTGATAGCTGCGTGGGAAGGAGACTCACTTCACATAATTGCGGGGGTTGGTAAGCCCATTGTGGCGTGTCACCCACCCTGCACATGCTAAGTATATTTAGTCGCATAGTCTCCTGTTTCATGCTACTATGGCCGTAGCAGCTTGCAACTGTAGGGAAGCAGCTACACAAAACCCATGAATTTATTTTATTTTATTTTATTTTATTTATTTTATTTTATTTTATTTTACTTTTTGATTTATATCCTGCCTTTTTCCTACAAAGGGCTCAAGGCAGCTTACATCTCCTCCTCCATCTTATCCCCACAACAACCACCCTGTGAGGTAGGTTGGACTGAGAGTCTGTGACTGGCCCAGAGTCACCCAGTTGGCTCCATGGCTGAGCGGGGACTGGAACCCAGATCACCTGAGTCCCAGTCCCATGCTCTTAACTGGCTCTCCTCTATTTCCTCTCTCATGATTGTGCAAACACAGCTGCTGAAAGCTCCTTATGAACTTTCTGCCTGATATAGCTACCACATAAGCTGAGAGAGCATGCTTTTTAAGAATAACTGGGGAGGGGTGATCCTCTATCAGTTTCAGTCCTGGATAGTGGGTTGTTCTCCCCCTTTATATGCCATCAGTGGGAGAGGGTAAGAAGCAACTTACTCTTCCAACTTCCCTAGTAGATTTGAGTGGTTCTTCCATTGCAGCAAGGGCAACATTCTCAATATTTGATATTTGATTATTGATATTTGATTTTCAATATTGATATTTGATATTTGATTTTCATTTTCCTGGGTGCCAAATGTAGATAACTTTAAATGCAATCTCTTTTTGGTAGAGTTATTTAAAGCATGTTGGCAGTATTCTAGAAAGAGTTCTCAATCTCTCAAACATTGCTTTGTTGTGCAGTTTTTAACAAATCTACTGTTTTTAAAGCATTACTAATAGAGAATTGCAGTCAGTTTATCCCAGTGATTATACTGTTAAAAATTATATATTTTCATTCATTCATTCATTACATTTCTATGCCACCTCATAGCCCATAGGGCTCTTCTACAGTTCTCATACACTTTTAGCATACAGTTGAATGAAAAGCTATGTGGGAGGGGAAGGATATAGTTTTCGTATCATTAGTTCTGGTGCTAATCCCTATAGTTTCTCACCAATCCCAGATACTCTGTTCAGCAGTTATCATTAAGCAGAAAAACCTCCTGAAGTTGCACAGATAATAAATTGTAAAAACCCTGCTAGTTTAAAACTATCTCATATTGGCTTAAAATTCTAAAAGCCAGGAATTGGGAAGCTAAGACTAATACCTTAAAACCATGCCCCATAATCGGTATGATGCTGTGCAATCTTACAAAGTCTGTTTGGTTACAACTTACCCTCCATGCACCCACACTTTTCCTTATTCATTCCAGCCCAAATCCTGGTGGGAGCTCTAAGATGGAAGTCTTAGTACATGAAGATCTTATCCAAATCTGGGAAGCCTCATAAGGCAATGAGTTTGTCTGGTGTGCCTGTCCAATAACAAATCAGTTGAGAACATTCTTCAGAAGAAAGTGGCTTTACTCCAGAAATAAAGGGGATTACACACATGCAAGCAAGCAAAGTTTTCATGCAGCACACACCCAAACTATGCAGGATTCTAACCTTTATACTTCTGGTGAGAGATTATCTTCTCCTTCCATCTGCTTCTCCCACTGTTTTAGTACCGTGTTGTTGCCCTGTCCAGTTTGGCTTTAACTAGTTTCAGCTACTTCGTTCGTGTCTCCCTTTGTACTTGGGAGGGGTCATTCTCTTAGTTTACACAGGGGTTGGCCTTCATTGTAAATGTAATGAGTTGAAGTGTTTCTTGAAGCTTGAGACTTATGATTGATTGTCTATCAAAGACAGTCTCAATCACATCCTTAAGCTAAAGCCAAGGTTCTAATGGGGCAGGAAAAGCAATACATAGCTCTATATTGGCAAGAGCCACTGTGCAGGCCTAGCTAGTGGAAGAGTTTGCTTATACACAGAAAATATATTTGCTATCCTCAGTTTGGGCTCAGTGTAAACTCCAGTTTTTACTTCATATAAAGCCACTTATAAAGCTCAGAAATAGACATCATAAGCTCGAGAGCTCAACTTTATCATTGCATTTAAAAAACACAAATGCAGTGGGACTGTCTTTTGTACTCAGTGTCAGCTCCTCGTATCCACAGCGGAATGGAATGGAAGTAGGGTTGGAAGGAACCTTTAGGCCATTGAGTCCAACCCCCTGCTCTGCTTCCACAGGTGGTCACCCATCTGATTGCAGGCCCATGCCTTTCCAGCTTATCAACATGCTAGCTTGATGCAGCCCGGCAAACACATTGAAAGAGTCTCAAAAACAAAACAAACACCCCTCACTGAAGCCAAATGCAGCCTCTCACAACGACCCAGCTGCTGTACACTGATGCAGATGAGTTCCTACAACACTCAACTAGCAGGGGAAGCTAGTACTAGAAGGGGCTCGCCCTCCAGAAGATAATTCCTGGGTTTTTGGGATTCCCCTCGGATAGCTATGCAGACAGGAGTATCTGGCATCATATATAGCTAAGCATCTGGAACCACATCCCTTCCCAAATCACCTACCCTTTGTCTGCTGTCCCCTCCAGTTACCAACTGACTATTGTCCTTTCCTTGAAATAGAAAAGCTACACTTCCAAGGAACTCGAATTATTTACATTTCTATTAGCAAACACTCTTTTCCAACAACCCAAGAGGTGACTCTACACATGGACAGCACCAAACGGTCAACACAAAAATCAGAATGACTATGTGCTCTGCAGCCAAAGATGGAGAAGCTCTATACAGTCAGTAAAAACAAGGCCAGGAGCTGACTGTGGCTCAGATCATGTGCTTCTTGTTGCAAAATTTAGACTTAAATTGAAGAAAGGAGGAAAAAGCACTAGGTCACTCAGGTATGACCTAAATCATATCCCTGATGAATATACAGTAGAGGTGACAAATAGATTTAAGGAAATAGATCTGATAGACAGAGTGCCTGAAGAACTATGGACGGAGGTTCACAACATTGTACAAGAGTTAGCAACTAAAGCCATCCCAAAGAAAAAGAACTGCAAGAAAGCAAAATGGCTGTCTGAGGAAGCTTTACAAATAGCTGAGGAAAGAAGGGAAGCAAAAGGCAAGGGAGAAAGAGAAAGATACAAACAACTGAATGCAGAATTCCAGAGAATAGCTAGAAGAGATAAGAATGCTTTCTTAAATGAACAGTGCAAAGAAATAGAAGAAAACAATAGAATTGGGAGGACCAGAGATCTCTTCAAGAAAATTGGAGATACGAAGGGAACATTTCATGCAAAGATGGGCATGATAAAGGACCAAAATGGCAGGGACCTAACAGAAGCAGAAGAGATTAAGAAGAGATGGCAAGATTACCCAGAAGAACTATACAAGAAAGAGCTTAACATCCCTGATAACCACGATGGGGTGGTCACTGACCTCGAGCCAGACATCCTGGAATGTGAAGTCAAATGGACCTTAGGAAGTCTGAGCAACAACAAAGCTAGTGGATGTGACAGTATTCCAGCTGAGCTATTCAAAATCTTAAAAGATGATGCAGTAAAAGTGCTACACTCAATATGCCAGCAAATTTGGAAAACTAAACAGTGCAAAAGTTGGCTTGAAACTCAACATTAAGAAAACTAAGATCATGGCATCCGGTCCTCTCACTTCCTGGCAAATAGATGGGGAAGAAATGGAGGTAGTGACAGATTTTATTTTCCTGGGTTCCAAGATCACCGCAGATGGGGACTGCAACCAAAAAATTAAAAGACACTTGCTCCTGGGGAGGAAAGTTATGGCAAATCTAGACAGCATACTAAAAAGCAGAGACATCACCCTGCCAACAAAAGTGCGTATAGTCAAGGCTATGGTTTTCCCAGTTGCAATGTATGACTGTGAAAGCTGGACCATAAGGAAGGCTGAGCGCCAAAGGATTGAGGCCTTTGAATTGTGGTGCTGGAGAAGACTCCTGCGAGTCCCTTGGACCACAAGGCGATCAAACCGGTCAGTCCTAGA